CCCCAAAACCCCAAAACCCCAAAACCCCTCCATCCCCACAAAAACTGAAATGGCAGTTTCAAGTTTCATCTTACTCTTGCACAAAACTTTAAACTCTGAAGGCTTGACTTAAAACCTTTTGCATTTAGCTTAGTAATCAGCACTGATGTGAGAGAGGCCGTGGGCTTGAAGTATGGAAGCAAGGTTGAGAGTGGGTGCTTCTTCGTGGATGCGGATGGATTTTAGGGAGTGATGGAGGGAGGAGGTGGAGATAGAGTGGATGAGAGAGTGGATTTTGGAGGGGGAGGGGCTGGTGGAGGTTTGGCCAATTTTTCAGTGGTAGAAGGATAGTTCATCAATTTTGTATGACAGGGAGGTGTGAAAAGTAAGATTTGTGGTGTTGATTTTACATTCGTAAAATATGAATTTTGTAATGTGGCTACCTCTGTTGAGAATTGATTGTAGATTTTTGCTTGAAATGGTCATTTTTGCAATATATACATTGTTTGTTATAAATTGAGCAATTTTAGCAAAATTATGCTCATAGAAATTAAAATGCTTATATCCATATTATTTATGATGCAGATCAAGAGAATGGATGTCTTTTATCAAGGTATTTTTGAATAAATAACTATAGGCATAGTACAAATCCTTAGAACTTGAACATTTAAGACTCAATTCTGAATAGCAAGGAGTAAGTTTATAAAATTCTCAAAATGCTTTAATGTTCCTTCTTCTTAATTTATCAATTGGGTAAACTATAGACATATAGATGTGCATCATGGTTCCCTCTTTCTTCTTTCCTATATCTATTTGCTTACAAGTCTTATAATGAATACTATCAAGGACTTCAGTCTCTTTTTCTCTCTCTAAGTTCATCAGATTCTTTTCAAATTTTCTAGCTCTCTTCAGCTGCTTTTTCGGCTTCATGTTCTTCCTCCCAGAGTTAATATTTCCCATCTTATAATAATATTAATTCATTCTCAGATTGTTGGCAAGGGGTTTTGGGGTTTTGGGGTTTTGGGGTTTTGGGG